GCACACTGAGTTTGTACAGTCATACTGCCCCACACTGCACAAGGCACTTACAAAATTATGCAATGTAAAAAAGTCTGTAGCCTTGGTAGCTAAGCAGTATCTTAAAGGACCCCTCCGTTCACAAAATGAACAATATTTCATAGATTTTTATTTTTCAATAGAGGACTAATGTAAAGTTTTTGAGGCAAAAAACATATAGTTTAAAAACATGTCTGGAGGGGATCTTTAAAATATGAGACACATCATTTTAAAACATACTGTGGACTGTGCAGGGGAAGCTTTCACTGTTTGAGTCAGGGTATGCATTGATCATGCATAATCAAATTAACAGCACTTAAGCCCCAGAGACACAACGTTCATGCCAAAACTGAAACGTACAGCTCTATGAGCCTTCATACAATGTATAGAGGTATAAAAGACTTTGGCACTGGGTGAGAAAAATTATTAAACATTAAAGCATTGCCTCACTTTCAGAAAATGTTTAACATTTGAAACAGTGTTAAAAAAATGGAAAAATAAAACTGTAGTTCACAATTAGTCTTATCTGAGGCCTGATATGAGTATGGGTGCTCTCCCATGTAATGATTTTAGATCTTGTGAGGGGAAAACATGTGAGTGGGTTTAATATGAGCCTGTGAGGCAGTGGTGCCATTTATAAAACTGATTCTCAGCAACACGTTGTATGAATGTTAGAAAACACGTTTGGTTGCACAGAAAAACATATATTGTGGCAATACTCTCAATTATATAAGCTTAATGGGGCAAGTGTTTCAATATTATTAACATAATTACATATTGTTACACTCATGTAAATAGCTTCATTAATATCCAGTTAGATGTCTGTGGGCATCTTAAACAAGTGAAAAGACCCTGAGCTGCACTCATTTGCATACAATGGAAACAAAGAACATGTAGTTCTTAAATTATGCTGGAGGAGGAAACTACAGCAACTTTAAAGCCTCCTTGTAAAGATGCCATACATATGTCGCAAATGGCATGTTGTTGGATTAGTGGCATTATTAGAGGTTAAAATAAAACCATGTTAACCCAGTAAATGACACTCGCGTGCTACTGAGCGTTCACCACTCCCTTCACGTGATGGCAAGCCGATAAATACCCCAACAGTGGGATTATATCACAACACAAATCGGCTTAAATCAATAAAAGCAGCAAGACACAGTCAGTAGAAAAAGCATTTGGATACATACCTAGGATGAGACAGACTATGTCTAGCAGGATGTAGGGGATTCCTCTTGCCTCGAACATGTTTGCTCTTGTCGGTCTCTGACTCGACTCCCTGGTCTGTGGCGCGTCCTCTCCTGTAATAAACACCAGGGGGATGTCCCTCCTTGGGACGTCGCTGCAACGGTGGTTTCCGATAAGAGTGTGAGATTAAAAAATGGTAGCAAGTGTTGTATAAACAAATAAAAACGTCGACGTCCTCCTGCGGAACCGACAGACCGCCCGGGCCGAGGGACGGCACATATCAGGAAGATTTGTTGTTGTTATTGCTGCCGTTGTTATTTGTGGGCGGTGAACTGCAGCAGAGCCGAGAACTCCACACGTCTGTCATGGTGGTTTTAAAAGCCCGTAAAGAAAATAAAACACTCGTTCTCACGGAGGGTCGGTCATTTGCACCGACACCTGCCCGATCTCGACGTGTGTGACCGCTGGCGCGCGAACCGCTTGACGACAACCGAAAAGCTCCGAGGTCGACCGACCGCGGCTGCGGGCCTGTGTGGAGCTGCTGCCTTCACGTGCTAGCAGAAATGTCGGATATACGATGCATAACTTTATCTGTGCGCTCAGTTTCTTTCTCCGTTAACGACTGGTGCGTTAACGTTACCTTAACCCGTTCACAAAAAAGTGTTGTAATGGTGGATCTTTACTGTAAATGCACTCATAAATAATTAGCAAACAAATAAATGAATAAAATGTAATAATAGTAAAATAAAATAAAAAGATAAGGATACTTAATTGTAGTAAAAATGACTATAAATGGTCATAATAGACCTTTCTTTTAACAATAAAACATGAGTTTATTTTTCATGAATGATTATCCATCCATCCATCCATCCATCCATTGTCATCCACCTATCCGGGGCCAGGTTGCGGGGCAGTAGGCCCCACAGATGTACCTCTCCCCAGCAATGCTTTCCAGCTCCTCGCGGGGGACCTCAAGGTGTTCCCAGGTCAGATTAGATATGCAATCCCTCCAGCGTGTTCTGGGTCTGCCCCGGAGGGCTCCTTCCAGTGACCAGGAGGAACCAGACTAAGAGCAATTCAAGAACTCACACTATGGGCCTTGAGCACATCTCTCGGTATGGGGACACCGGCCCCCAGCGAGCACCTGGTGGCCCGGCCTGGTCGGGCTCAGCCCAAAAAAATTACATGGAGTCATCAACCTGTAGGCCCACCACCGCTAGGACAGAATTTAAGGTCTAGTGCATTGTGTGCCGGGCAGCAGGCAGGGTCAGGGCCCCTGGCGTGCAGATCCCTGGCGTCGCGAATGGTTAACCCATATCAGTAAATATAGTGATGCTATATTTGGCATTGTATTCATCATCATGACACAAAATATCCTTAATTTGTGAAGTATCTCCAGAAGAAAAGTATGTTGAAAACCTCATGAGATCAATATTCTGTGTACATAATCAATAGGTGATATTACAGGCTGATTGTATCGTTAGAAAAACAAATTTGAACAGTTTCCCTGTTAAAGACTCCACCTTTAACACAGTATTTCTCCTGTTAATTTCCCAGTGACACTCAGTGGATGAATGAGTAAAGTCATGAGCAAAAGCTATATTTGACATATTTTTTGGCATGTTTAAGTAATATAACATCATGTTTAGTTTAAACATAGTTTAACACATATTATTTACTTTAACTACATGATTAATACTGAAACATGCCTTACGCTTTACCCATTTGCCTCATCGTCGGCCATGCTTGTTAAAAAAGGGGGCGTGGCTGTAATCATAGGTCTATACATCTTAAAACAAAGTTACTGAGAATGGACTGAACGGGTTGAAATATAAGTCAAAGCATTTTTTATCTTGTGACGTCTTGGGAAGTGGTTTATTCACTTTCCTGCAGAGAAAAGATGAATGCCTCATCTGTCTGTTAAATCTGAAAAAGAAAAGAAAATAGGAGGTTGCAGATGCAGCTGGTTGGTTTATCCTCACATAAAGACTGGAAACAGGAGTAAACAGCCTGGCTCTGTCCATTGGTGACAAAATCTGCCTATCAGCATATCTTAAGCTCACTAATGCTAATGGACACATTACATCTAGTTTGTTTATTCAGTGATAGTAGTTGGCACGTAGTTGGGCCAGGCACAGGGACTTTGCGGCAGTCTTGTGGAGTTGAGACTCATGAACTCACTGAACCTGGTCAAGTATGGCACATGGGGTGGCGGCGATATACCGGTTTCAAGGTACATTGTGATTTAAAAAGTTAACGGTTGTAATACCATGTACATTTCATATCTAAAATATGACAAAAAAATGCAACTGGACGAAGAATCTGCCCTTTATTTTAGTTATTTTCTAAAGGGGAGACTTTTAGACATACTTCCATTAACAAAATGGTTTCAAGTTTCAGTTATAGTAATAAAACTTTGTTAAACCAAAAATAAACCCTCTATTTTTATTCCTTTAAGCGTCATGCTGATTGATAATATCAATTCTGTAATACCGTGATACCTTGATACTGTGAAACTGCGATATTTTCTGAGTTATCATAGGCTACTGTGAAAATCTCATACTGTTGCAACCCTAGTGGCACCTAACTTTCTGCAACAATGTGACATGTTTTTACACTTATATCTTCTCAGAGCTACATACTTTTTTCAAATATCTCAAGGTGATTTTTAAAATTTAGCCCAGAAAACTCCAAACTATGCTACTGTGGAGTATATTTCTGATAAATCAACTCACCTACAGGAAACATTCATCGCAACAAACATTTAACACCCAAGGGAAAAAAAGCCACTTGGAAACTAACCCCCGGGGTTAAATTAAAATATTCTGAGAAAACATAGCCTCAGTCAAAGTGTGAGCTACTAATCTCAGTATGTGTACTGAGCATTTACTTATCTTTGATGGTTAAACTTACCATTGTGTGCACTTCAGGAGCAAGGAGGAAGGTAGGTCAGCAGTCATCACAGCTGACATCCTTATCAGCACACTGACCCCATCTAGTGCTCTGGAGTTTGAGCTACACTAAGCAAATACTGAAACATTTCTGGAACTTTTGAACACCATTAAATAACACCTCTAAAACCTTCAGTAACTTTTAAAATACTTATTTTCATTAACAGGTGCAGCCATATTAGCAGGAGAGTCATCAGGCAGAGTCAGCATGTGCCCACATTGTGCTGAGAGAAGGTTTAATTAGGCAAAGTGATTGAAGGCACCTGTGTCTATGGAGCACCATTGTTCCCTTTAAGAGTCTAATAAAGTACCTGATTATTATTCTTCCTTTCTTTTGTTCTCCTGATTGTCTTGACTGACAGGTGAAGGCTTGGCAATTAAAAGTGTCACGAAATAAAACAGCCATCAGGAAAAATGTGACATGAGGAGATATGATATTAGAAAACTACAATTGTAAAGTAAAAACTTTAAAAATTAAATAAGCCCCTCGATAAACTATTTTAAAATGTGAATCAGCAAAATAACGTAACATTTAAAATAATAAGAATAATGAGATATTTCTTTATATGATTATTTATTCAATAATGTTATATTTTTTTGATTCAATACTGAACACTTAGGTTTCCATATTCTTCTCCTCAGCTTGTCCCCGAACGTAAAATGAAGGTAATTTAATAATATTCATGTATTACAACATGTACTATGATGCTTGCCAAGAATGAAAGTAATCATCTTAATATTCTCTCATATCTTTGTTTCATATTCCACCTCATAGCTGGGTAAGACTTGATAATTAGCAGCAGATGGCACAAGCAAACACATCCCAGTAAAAACAAACTCAGACTCAATGCACAAATATGTTTTATTCAACTCATTTACATGAAGTGAAAAAATAACTTGAAATTTACATTTCAAAGTCATTCACTGTTTTTTTTTATTTTTACAAGGAATGTTTTGATGGCAAACAATAAAAACATGATTCAAAAAAGTGCCTCTCTTCACATCTTTGGTCGTCCACCAAAAGTACAGCTCGTTTTGATTGAAGTGCAGGAGCAGTATTTATGGGAGATTATATTAAAACTAATATAAAGTGACCATTGAGGCAGTTATATCTCTACACCTACAGCATCTCCAGTTTCTGCGACTGCTCAGCAATACATGTAATGTAAAATATTAGGTCAGTAAGTCTCATTCTGACTTGTTAAGTCATCGTCAGAGTCAGGACAGTGAACAGTATTATTGTCAATCAATAATCCTTTCCTTTATTCATCTATTATGTGTCAAATTTTGTGACGAACCCCCTCTACATTGTCTTTTATTATTTTAAACATTCAAAAATAAACTGACATATTTTGGGCATAAATACACAAATACACAAAGAAGGCTTTTCACTGACATTAGATACTGTCATTCATAGCGTGTTTTTCTTTGACTCACCTCCATTCATTACAGAGATGAATGACCCACACATAATACTGTCCCGGGTATAACCTCATACATGCTGGCATTTACGAAATAATAACAAACATAAATTAAAGGAATGAATAATTTATTTAAAAACATTTTTAAAAGGCCATTTCAGGCTTTAAACGAATCCTTCATTGTGTATGCACCAACATGTTGCTCACTTTCAGTCCACTAGGTGGCTCTGTTTCCCTACACATAAACACATGTATGTCCAATTTTCCCCGGCCATCCCAAAAAGACAGTGTTCAGGTTTAAGTCACAGAAGGCACACGGTTCAGAGACACTTTGTAGCTCAAACGTAAGTGCTGTTTTCTGTCCGAGTTGCCTTTCTGCAGTCACAGAGTTAAATACAAATGGACGCTAAATTTACAGATGGATGTTTCAGACCGGAGAGATGTTGATTAATGTCCAACTAAAGTCTGCTCCACTTGTGTCGATGAATTACTCAAGTCAGTTTTAATTCATCTTGATCTTGCGTTTCAGGGCAATGAAGTGCTGCGAGTCCTTGAAAAGTAAAACGTCTTCACATTTTTCATTAAACGAATAGTTCGCCTTTTTGGGAAGTACGCCTATTGCTGATCAGATTGATACCACTCTTAGGGATAAAAGTGGTTTGGGGTCAAACTCTCAGCAACAAAGTCAACAAAGTCTCCAAAAAAATGTTGAACTATTCCTTTAAAATCTGAAGTAGTTTATCATCTACACTGTTGTATCTGATTGCAGTCTTTGCAGTGACGATAATCCAACTGTAAGTCTTCATGTTTTCTTGGGGTTTGAGTTTTGCTGTTGTTTCTGTTTGCGGAGGTGAGCTTCGATCTCATGCCTGAAGAACAGCATCCCCAGCTGGCCGTGCGAGGCCTCGTTCATGGCCTTAGACTGCATGCACATGCGGTATTGGTCTGGAGGGAGCTCGTCAGCGCAGTGTTTCTCGTGCCACAGGTGGAACAAGCCTCGTGACGGTGCTCGTACCACTAGAAGGTTGCTATGCAGGTACTTCCTATACAGGTGGACATCTTCTCCGCCCCAGCCTTTGATGTCGATGTCGAAACCTCCTGGAGAAGAGAGACCAGGCAGAGAATCCACAGTAATATAAAACTTTATTAGACCATCAAAGGATGTGTTGTTATATAAAATGATGAACCTTTTGATATGCAAACATTTCTACAGTGTAATTTATGTGTTCGGTGCTGCGTTCACTGCCGCTAATTATGAATCCTGATTAGGGTTTACAGTATGTGATCATAATCAGTCTTCTCTGCACTCTGGTTTGTTGTTTCATGAGGGGGCGGAGAGGACATTCTGGACTGATGCTGCCAAACAGTCCTCGACCAGGCATGTTTAAACCTGCATCTTTAGACACCTGAACTACTCGTGTCTGCTTCTGCTCACACTTGGTGTCTCTCTGCAGTTTTATTTTGATTATTCTGTCTGTCTCTGTCTCCCTTTTCACACTCCTGCTCCAGGGCTAAACAGAGATAAGACAGGAATTTGAAACCAACAGATGAATTGTTCATTTGTTTATGCGCTCGTGGCCTAAATAACATATTGCATCATCATTTTTGAAGAACAGGAACGACACTTCCTAATTAGTTTGACCTTTTGAGGAAACATACCTGTTCCCTTTCTTGTCAAGAGTTAGAATATTGATATGTGTGTAAGGTAAATATGCAGGCTGTTCTCATGCATTGCCCATACATTTTCCTCTGAAAAGTAATGCACCAAAATTCGTACATATCCCACATAATGATGAGCCTGGAACTTGTGCATAACCCATGCATTTTGGAAGTCTGCGATCACAAGACCAATGTGCTGACAGGAATAAAGATGGAAGCTGTCCTGAATGGTCCAGTCAGGAGGCAGGTTGGGGTGGTGGACGGGTCACAAAAACACAGGACTTTCCCCTTGCCTAAACCTAACCGCTGCAACTTTATGTTAATTACGAAACTTCATGCTACGGACTAACATCCTTTGTGGTTCATTCGCAAGAAATCATACAAACCATTGTATGAGGACACATTAAATATGAGGCTGCAACCAGAAGCTGGTTAGCTTAGCTTAGCATGACGACTGGAAACATAGGGTAACAGCTAGCCTACATATTTACTGTACCAATGTCATGTGATCATATGAATTGAAAGTTAAAGTAATATTACATTACAGGGGCAACTGATGATTATTTTCATTGTCGATTAATCTGTCAATTGTCTTCTCGTAGAATTGATCAGTTGTTTGGATTATAAAATGTCAGAAAAAAGTTGTTTCCCAAAGTCCAAGATGACACCCTCAAATGTCTTGTTTTGTCTGCAACCTACAGAAATTCAGTTTACTATCACAGAGGACAACAGAAACCAGATAATATTAAAATTTATGAAGCTGGAATAATTTTTTTTTTCCTTAAAATATTACATAAACTGAAATTATTAGTTAGTGGTTACAGGTCTAGTGTGTAGGATTTAGTAACACCTAGTGGCGAGGTTGCACACTGCAACCGACTGAAACTTCGTCCATATGCCAAGCGTGCAGGAGACCCACAGTGGTCGACCTGAAAACCTGAATGGCCCTATCAAAAGCCAGTGTTTGGTTCTACTGTAAAAACAACATTGCGTACTTTGAGGAAGAGGACCTGTTCTGTATATAGATATAAACGGCTCATTGTAAGGTAACGGAAAAACAACAATTCCTAGTTTCAGTATAAATTAATGAAAACATAGTTATGAATATTACACACCATTTCTGCCAGTTTATTCCATTAAATCCTACACACTAGCTAACACTGATCAAATAATTGATTAATTGTTGCAGCTCTACATATACTACATACACACATATACATATTTACACATGTAAGTTCTTGCAAGTAACTCAGCAAGAAAGTAAACTCCACCTTTATATCAGATTCCTGTCCTTCTTGGAGCTTGTTTCACATTTCAGCGTGGTAAGTGAGAGCATTTGCATGCTTGTGTGTGTGTGTCTAGGCCCCAAACAATAAACCACTTTGAATTTCGCTGTAGCCTTTAAGTGATGTCACTTTGGAGGGAAACTAAATTGATGTAAATCTGTCTTGAGAGCCAATATTCCTCAACTAATACACAGATGGAGAGGACATGGGGGCTGTGAGATATGCTAATATATGCTTCTGCTGCTGCTCAGAGCTGTTTCATGCAGAGTAATATAATCAAATCTCCTCCCAGTTAAGAAAAGTAATGTAATATTGAACCATTTGTGTTCTGGCGTTTTTCATATCCATTAGGCTGCAGCACCATTAACATAGCATCTAGCCATCCAGGAAGCCCATTTTTACCCAGTGTTATGTAACGCCTCTGCACAGATAATCAACCCCCAAGAGCAACTGTTTATGAATTCCTGCATTGCTAAGATGTTTTGATGGGTGTAACTGCAGTGTAAATATTTACCTATGTTGATGAAGTCGGACCTGTATTGGCAGGTCATGCCGAAACCGAAATCTCTCCAGAACCCCGTGTCTTTCTTGATCACCTGCAGAGAAAAGAACTGCATGTCTCAGAGAGCTTACAAACAGAAACATATCAGCTCCACACACACGGGAGGCACATCAACGGGAGCGTGCTTCTGTGGATTTGTAGCAGATGGAGAGGTGAAATGTTTCTAAACCTGACAGCAATGTAGCACAGCACTGAATATGATTTTTCCACAAGTGGCTTACAGAGTGTTTGAAAAAGACAGAATAAAAGAAAAAGAGAGCAAGAGGGTAGATTTGATTGGTGTGTGTTACCAGCTGTTGCTCCACAGGTGGGATGTGTTCAGGACTTCCGTAGATCAGAGTGGGGTTGTACTGGCTGAACAACACCGGGTAGAATACCTTTTTGCCTGAAAGGGAGCGAGACAGCGAGACAATGTCAGACAACCAGGCAGTAATTTGATGGGAATGTGTGTGTTTGTAGGGCAAGCAATTAAAACATTTAACAGGTTTCATTTGATCATCTCTAATTACACTGGGACGTCAGAGACTAGTCATAACAATCTGACCACTTGGAATTATAATCAAGATATCTGCCACTGCATTCTGGCTTGTAAGAACAACTACTCAGGATTCATCCAAAGAGATTTCGACCAGACATAAACCTTTTAAGATAGCTGTAAAAGTTTAATTCAAGATATCTGTAATTACGTTGTATCTCTAATTACATTCTGATTACTAAGAATGAATCACTGAGTTGTACAGACAATCTAATTAGAGATATCTACAACAAGCAGGAGCTAAAGGAGCAGTGTGTAGGATATAGTGGCATCTAGCAGTGAGGATCGCAGAGTGCAACCAGCCAAAACTTCTCTTATGTGCCAAGCATGAATTCCAGGTTGGGACTCCTTTAGTGTTCATCGTTCAGGAAGTTTTTACCGGGAGATCATTATTATTATCTGCAGAGGTCTACTCCTCTCCAAAACAAACCACCAGGGTCAGGTGATTTAAACAGGCAAAAACACTCAATAAAGTAGCTTCACCTTAAAAATCAGTGTTTCTTCAATGTTCTTCAGCTTGTCGCAGATGGGCCACTAGCTCAGCACCTGCTACTGTGCACTCACCTTTTTTCTCATCAAGACTTTAAGGAGGTTTTAACCAGGAGCTGAGTTATCTGCAGAGGTCCCCTACTCTACATTTCCACCAGTAAAAACACTGAATAAAACAGTTTAATGTTAAAACAGAGGGGTGTGCTAACTACGGTGGCCAACGTCAAAATGCGAATGGCCCTATTTAGAGCCAGTGTTTGATTTGTCTGCCCTGAGCTACTGTAGAAACATGGCGGTGCAACATGGCTGACTCTGTGGATGAGGACCTGCTCCCTTTGTAGATATAAACAGCTCATTCTAAGGCAATGATTACACGATTATTCTTATTTTCAGGTGATTATACACCAAGGAAAACATATTTAATAGATTTCATTTCTGCCAGTAACCCTCCCAAAGTCCTACACACTGGACCTTTAAAACTACAATGAGGATAACTTGAATTTGAGTTATTTCTTATCACAGTTATATATATCTCTACGCCTTTGGACATCCTACAAAGGGAAAAAGTTTTCTTTGACTAAATTTTATCTATAATATATAATAATATATCTTCAAATGCATACTGACTAGTCAATATCATTATTCTAGATATCTCCAGACACATGCACTAGGATGCATTTGGAGATATGTTGATTTTAAGTTCTGACTCGTCATAAATACAAAGCAGAGATCTTTGATATTAATCATGTCAAAAGGTTAAAAACATGTCTTACCAGGCTGCGTGTTGAGTCGGCAGGTGTTGAGGAAGTCAGCGGTGAAGTAGATGTCCACGTCACAGAAGAAAAGCAGCACGTTGCCTCCCTTCCAGGCTCGGGCCCCGATGTCTAGACCCCGTCCCCGAGAAAACTCCTCATCCAGCTGCAGCAGAGTGTAGTTCTTAAAATTAACTTCCCTGCAGAGAGAAAAAGAGGGAGGTCGGACAAAGAACCACAAGTCAATTTTTGTGTAGAGGGCCCTCTCAATGAAAATATCAATACATGAAAATACATTTTTGCCAAGTTTATTCAAAATAAAATGAGCTTGTCCGAACTCTCCCTGCTGAAACTGTAAATGTGTCAGAACTGTAAAGAAAATATAAAACTGGAGGATGTGGAGGATAATAAAGATATTTTTACATACTATAAGACGGTTTTTCCCATTTCTGTTCCTGATTCTCATTTCTCATTTGATTTATGTGTTTTCAGTAACTTCATTGCCTGTCCTTTTTATGTAATCATTGCATTAATTAATTAGTTTGCTTGTATATCAAATTTAAATTAAAAAGCCTGATGTTTTCCTGTGCGTTCCATTGATTGCACTTTCATTTCCTGCAATGAATTTGGGTCAATTTATTACTGCAGTGTTTTTTACATTTAATTATTTAATTCAGTTTTAATTGATTTTATTTTCCTTTTTATTGTGCTGTGTTTCCCTTTTTTATTGTTTTATTGAGCTAGAGAGAATAATTGAAATGAAATCACTGAAAACAGGAGATGAATAAGAGAAACAGAGAGAGCAAAAGTAAGACATGGATTGATGATATATCCCTTGGTTGAAATATTTAAGAAACTTATATTTGAATGCAAATACACAACATGCAATCTCTCCAGTCTCCAAGCCCATTGAGTGCCCCAGCTGTGAAATCTTGTTGTGTCCAATCTGCAGCCAGTAAAATAATTCATTTGTTGATTAGTTTGTTTGGAAATATGCACCACTGAAGTACATTATAATGTAAACCGAATCAAGTAAACATTAATATAGCAGCAAACAACTATTTTCTATTTAAAGATACAGTGGAGTAATGGCATCTGTGTAGAGAATGAATTCATGCTCCCGCTCCGTGTGTTATAATCCGAGCTTCTCTGTCCAGTGTGGTGTTAGCCGGTCCGGCCGCTCGTGTGTGTTCGTGCATCTGAATCTCTGTGATTGTATCTTGCTGATTAGCTCATCGCTGCCGCTCTGCACTGCCCTCATACCGTGGTTACTTAGCATCATTGTGTGCATGTACTGCACACCCTTCAGTTTCCAAGGTAACATTGTTAGCACTGTTGCTGTTGTTAGTTGTGTTAAATGAGTTAGCACTGTTAGCTGCTAGTGGCCGACTCAAGCCACTTTCATGTTGAGAGCCATGTACAGACAATCTCAATCAGACCCTGCATCATAGACATGCTCTGAATGTCGCATACAGCTCCTTTAAGTTGGCGCCTGCATTTCTGTTTCAGAACATTAAGGCTCTGCCTTGTGCCAAACTACCTTTATTATTTCAGCTGATACTCTGGCTCAGATGGTGCCTACTCCTTAGTAAATTTGTGTTTAATCAAATGAACACAAGCCAACACAGCACGGCACCCATGGGACTGGATAGTTTTACAGAATATGAGTACTGGGTTGGTTTCTTGGACTCAGGGACAAAATATGATGAAGCTGCCATATGCACTAGATCTAATGAGTACTTAATGGCAACAGATTGTGAGCAACTGGAGGGCTAACAGGGGCCTACAGTACAATTTTGCCCCTGGCTTCCCTGGTGGATTAATTTGGCTCTGGTATTCCTTTGTTTTCTGCCTTTAGTATATTCAACCCCAATATTAATGACCTCACAAAGTTCACATCGGCTCAGCTCTTTGTTGACTGACTTCATTTTACTCCTGCGACATGTTTCAACTCCTGCTTTTTCCTCCTAAATGCTGATACAAACAAGCTTTAACTGGAGCCAAAAATTAATTGCACGAGACAACAAAGCTACCTCCATCATCAGCCTGAAGTTTTCTAAGGATGTGGTGAGAGTAAAGAGAAACAGCTGGATCCGGATGTGCACAGCTGTGCCTTTTTTCCTTTAACCATAACAATTCACACTGCTAGTGACTAATCCTTTACTCATGCGTGCACATACTCAGACGCACACTTTGTATCAACTTCAGATATAGAAGATAGTGAGGAAAAACTGGTTCACACATCTCTGTTCGAAGCAGAACAAACAGAATCCAACCTCCTTCGTCATTCATGTGATGTTGGGTGACATAACACGTGAGAGAACGCAGGTAGACATACACAGCTTTGTCAGAGGAAACTGGAATGACCAAAGAAAACATGGTCTGTTTGTTTTTGCCAGAAGCAGCTTGAATCATCATTCCCACATTTCCATCTGAGTGCTGTGTGTGTGTGAGTGTGGATGTCTGGGTGAATAGTGTGTATCAGCATATTTATTCATGTGTATGCCTTTGTCTCGCTCCTGTCCTTTCAGGCTCTCCCATAAATAAGGCATAATAAAAACCTTTTAATCCTGGTCAGAGCAGAGAGACATAAACCTGACGCCACTTTTGAGTGTCCTATTTGTTTGTGAGAATGACAACTTTAAGTAAAATATCAGGAGCAATGACAAGGAATGGACCTGTCTATATGTGTTTATGTGCTGTCAGTTAATACGTCTGCAGCCTATTCTCCACGTCTGTCTACAGTTTATGAAACCAAACAGAGTTGATCTGTTTCACAGTCTACACAGACTCCCAGGAGAGGCTGACCCACCCGCTGGCACTCGACTGTTCACAGATGGTAGAGATGGAGTACAATAGCTCTGTTTGTCTCAAACAACGTTGATGCAATAGCAGCTACATTCACATGTTGATTCAGTCTCAACTTCAACAGGGCGGGAAGCTCATTTGTCAAAGATGAAGAGAAAACTTTCAAGTGGAGCGTCTCAGTGACTGAAATATATTGCTTGTTTCCTTACACAAAACAAAAGTAACGAAATATAGATTTTATGTTGTTTTGTTTCAGCAATATTATGTCCTTTGTTTTCCAGGAATAGTTTGACAGTTTGGGGAGTGCTGGTATTCCTTTTTCTTTAGGAGTTAAATGGGAAGATTGATGCTCACTTCTGTGCTAAAAACAAAGCTACAGCTATGGGCGTATTGTGAGACAACAGGTCCCTGGGCACAGATATGCAAAAGGCCCAACCAACCCTCCAACACAGGAGCAAGGCACACAGACTGTGTGGTAATTTTAGCCCTTTTTTGTTGCTTTGCATGTCCTTGTAGTCCTGATGCATCTTTTGTGGTTTTATGTCTCTTTTGTAATTCTATGTGAAGTATTTTCAGTCTTATCGTGGTCGTTTTGTATCTCTTTGTGGTCATTCTAAGCCTCTTCCTTGTCAGTTGGTGTTATTTGAGTGACATTTTGTTGGTGAGGGCCGAAGGGGGGCCTTGACACTTTGGGCCCCTGGGCTTGTGTCTGGTAGACTTGCTCAGTAATCCATCCATGAAGACAGCTAGGCTGGCTCTATCCAAAGATAAAAAATCCATCCTCTAGCACCACCAAAGTGATTTTGTACATTTTTGGTTCATGTAGAAATTGGTTGTTTTTTGTACAAACATCACTAGCGTGGCTAAAAAGCTGCTAACCAGTGCCTCTAAAGCTCACACATCAATACATTATATCTTGTTTGTTGTACAACAACTATTTTTTTGTTTCACTGGGGGTTCTGTGCTGATCTCTGCATTCAAAAGGATATAACATATTAAATAGTGAGCTTTAGCTGTGCTGGTATGCAGATTTTATTACCTTTGCACATTGCCAGGCTAGCTGTTTTCCCCTGCTTTCAGTCCTCATGCAAAACTAAGCTAACCTGTGCTATGCTAAGCTAAGCTAAGCTAAGCAGCTGCTGGCTGAAGCTTCATTTACAGACATGACAGTGGTATCGATCCAGCAAGGAAGCGAATAAGTGTAGCTCCCTAAATGTCAAACTATTTCTTTAAAACAGATTTATGGTCCTCTTGGAGCCTTGTTTTACATTTTGGCACAACTCACTGAAAACATTTGCATGTTTGTGTCACTTTGAATTTCACTGTAACGTTAGCCTTTAGCCTAATTGATTTCACATCGGAGGGGAACTAAACTGATGTAAATCTGTGTTGAAAGCCAATATTCCTCACCAAATATAAAGACACGGAGGACATGGGGCTGTGAGATATGCTAATTTATGCTGCTGCTGATGATTACAGACAAGAAGTGCAGAGAAACAGTTAGCTTAACTCTATGCAAGGGTAAAACAAGTCTGCCAGCCAACTACAGTTGCTTTTGGACTTCGTTTTTTTAATGAATTAATTAAACAACATATTTAGTAATGCAAATTGTGGGTGGATTTTGTTACATCTGGATAGACTTGGGCTAGCTGATATTATCTAGGTATTATGTAGGACAAAGTGTCAGAGAGCCAAATGTCTTTTCACAGAGAGCCAAAGTAGATCTATCAATAAGCATAGTGTGTGTGTATATGTGTTCACAAGCTAACTGTTTAAATAATTCCCAGACTTTTGTGTGTCCACTTTCTGAGTCTCTAAAATGAAAGCCCAAAACTATGAACAAAGGCGCGACTGTTGTGTATCAAGTAAAAAAAGTCCACTAAAATGCTGCAACATCTTTGTTTTCTAAACTCCTTTTCACATTTGCTCTTTTTCTTCCCTCTTCCCCCCACAGGCATCAGCACCCTTATTCTGGCCTAAAATAGTCAATTTGTTTACTGTGGGCGTGGTGGCTGGTACCTAGAAGGGGCTAAATTGTTGAAATTGTGTCAGAGTGAGAAGCCTGTTAAGAGCTGTCATGTTGTTTCTCAGCAGCAGTCCTGATCCTGTTAGTTCGGCTCAGGACAGGAGGAGGAGACCAGATTTTCTTTTCTCTGAATCCGAGCCTCTGTGTAACTATTGCATGTATTTGCTTGTGAGTGGTTATAGCTTGAGGACTGACTGCAGACATGGTGCTTATTGAATTTGAAAAGTCTTGGCTGTAAGCCTCTATATGTGGCCATATTAGTTAGGTTTATTACAGTATTTGTCAGGGACAATATCCAACAACAGTAATCTCACATAAGGAGAAGAGTTGCTTTGTGGTAGATTTAGCTCCGAGCTAATTTCCATC